TATGATAAACAAAAAACTAGTGTAGAAATTGTGAACGATTAATGAAATGCACGACAAATATAACTACTAAATGAATGACTGATTAATGAATTTTTATGATTAATTATTATATATATTTTAATGTAATTTATAAAATAACTTACTAATTGTGAGTAAAAACAAATACCAATTAATGAATTTTAGTAAAACATTGAAATATTGTGGTAATCTCTTAATCCGATTTTTGTGTGTTTTTTAATTAATCCATTACTCTTTTTATTAATAATCCGGGTGCTTTAAGTTTATTTTTAAAAACACATTTAATTAAGTTTATCATTTGTAGGCATTGTGTTATTCATTCGCCATTCAATTGTAGATAACTATTGATAACTTCGCAAACAATTTTATTTTTGCATTAATTATTATTATTATTAAATTTGATTTACACTTTATTTTTTCAATTAAAAAACTTTTGTTTTTTGTTTCCCAAATGAAATCCGACTCAACATTATATAAAACGGGGAAACGAGTTGTCAAACGATATGTGTTTTTGTTTTGATTGCTAATTGACATACGAATTATAAAAATACAATTATTTTTCACTCAATTTTTAAGCTTTAATTTTTTGTTCAAAGACTCAAACTTTTTGTTTGTTTGTTAATTCAATGCATAATTGTTTTTGTAGTGTATTTCCCTCTCATTTCGCTCATACATTAGACGCACATATTATCTATCATTTAATGAATTTTATTTTATTATTATTATTTAAAACTAGCGTTTTGTTTGGTTTATCTTAAATTCATTCAAAAATAATAAATTGTTTCTCATTTTATAATCAAATTTATTTTGTGTTTCATTTTGATTGCACTTAAAAATCTACATTTCATTTCACTATACAATGACTACAATATATGACATTTTATAACAATTTATGACAATTTAATGAAAAACTAATTTCGTGTCCAAAACTTGCGTCGAAGTCGTATCAGAAGTACTCTAAACGCCGGCCATAAGAGACTTGTGTGCCGTCTATACCACTCACTATAACCGGTGACAAAGCAATTAAATAAATAAAATGTTCCCTGGTTAATAGACATATGGGACTATGCTTGTGACCAGAAATCAGTATACAAATATGAAACCTCTCGGACATAAATGGTTCTGGATATATTTTGTTCCCAAACTTCCATAGAAATACATTATAAATCATAGTTAACTTAGCGCTCAGTGGTTGCGCTGATGCTAACCTAACCTAACATACTGTGAGTCTCTCACACTTTGGACATACATTGCAATGCACTTCAATGGCAATTCCAAAACCTATTATACCCCGAACCTATCACTCCTGAGGTCTGAAATTTTATATACAGACTCCATATGACTTAAGCTTCAAAATAAACCTGGTCACTAAAACCTATTAAGCCGGGGAACATTTAAATCACAGATAAATGCTAAGTGTGTATATAGTGTAGCGAAAACTGCTTACAGATTGTAATTCATATGCTTTTTATGGTTTGAATCCAAGAAACTCTTGTAAAAGAGCGACAATTCATCGTAACTCAGACTCGACTTAAACTCCTGTCCTCTCAATGCCTTCAATTCCCTCTCAATATAATCGGACTTTTGCTGCGAAACAGACACACAATCCATGAGACAATTGTCGCGCACAAGAGGTATCATAAAATCAATGGCAAACCCGTTGAAAGTCCGCGTTATTCTTCAGCCAATACTCGTGGTTCCACTTCTGGAGCGCCGACCTCTTGAGCCGCAGCTCCCGTTCCGGTGGCGTCTCGTTCGCGGGTCTGCCGAAGTGTATGAGCCGTAGGTTTGAGACGGGATGACCGGTAGGGCTGACTCTGTCCACGTGATCATTGCTATCATCACTGGTGGCTGGTTTGCCGCTAAGACATCGGTGGCAGTGAACGGATAATACAGCGGTTCCGGCGATTGGCCACTGAGTGCTCGCTGTCAACGACTTCGCCAACAGATTCAGCGCTACATTTGGTGACCTATTGGGTGATAGTTACGGGTATTATGTCAACGACATTGGCGGCAATCAGTGGCAACTGACCTCAACATTGATATCCAAGAGTTGTGGCCACAAACTGGTCCAAGACTTGTGTCCAGCGATCACGTGATCGTAAACCACATCAAAAAGTTTGTATTTACAAAATAAATGAATCGCTCGCCGATTATAACGTTACGTGAATATAGGGGGCAATCATTTCACAGCGACAGTAATCTATAGGAAAATAGTATGCGGTTGTGCGATAGGGTTGTGGATAATAGTAAATAAGTAACAATATGTGTGAACATAACAGTCACGTGTTGTGCATAAACACAGGGTATAAATAGCGAGAGCGACCGGTGCTTTGCATTCATTTCCGATGCCATTAACGCACTGCGAGCACATGTGCTCTCACTTTACGCCAACTTTAACCACAATTTCAATGCAATTACTGTTAATTTAGTTATCATTTGTACGTAAAGTCTATTACCGGACACCATTTGCCACACGAAGTAGTCATCGGAAGTGTTATGAAAAGTAAATTTAATGCCATTTTCACCGAAACTCATGGTTTGTATGATTTTTGAGTTTTAATTTGATTTTAATTGCAATTGATTTGCGAAATCAATGAATGGTCGCTAAAACTGATGAGCAGATGACGAGTCTTATTGATGAAGACATTGGTTCCCCATTGATCCGGGGATCCGGTGATCGGATTCATACCACTGCAGACCAATCGAGGCATTTGTCTGAAGCGACCATTTATTTGATGATCACTTTCATCCGCGTCTTAGCCATGAATTGTAGCCAAAGATAGTAATCTAATGTCTTATAATTGCAGCGAAGATGCGATTAATTTGCCGCCATTTTGGACATCCGGTCCGTTTTGGGTGATCCACACGTGGACCACATGTGCTATGGCTTAGCCATCAATGGTTAGTATATAGTCTTTGATTATCATTGAAGTGATTGATGAGCAGATGACGAGTCTTATGATGAAAGCCTTCATTTTTAATGAACGGTTGGATTCACTAAAATGCAGACCAATCGAGGCATTTGTCTGACACTTCATTATCTCGTTTTGCAAACTCTTTGGCCATTGTTTTAATGGTTTTTATTTTATTTGTGTGTTTAGTTTGAGTGCAATGTTTGGGACAATAATGTGAATGATTTGGCGATTGATATGTAAGTTATCTTTTGCGCTAATGTTTGCCGTATTTGTCGGTGTTTTGTGATGATATCCAAGACATGGTTTCGCGATCTGTTTACTGACTATTAGTTGATGTAACTCTTGGCTGTCTGATAGCACTTCCACTCGCGGCTTACCATTGTTTGTGTGTTTGAAGTTCTGATTGATTTATGTCTGAATTTTAGGCCTTATCTAAGGAGAGGTATGAAGGACTTGGACATCGCTTTGGATTAGACTTATAGGTAAGCATAGAGTCCGTCTGTAACTGGGAAGTGATTAATGATAATGAGAGCAAATGATGACAAAACTTAGGACACCTCCGGATTGATTATATGAGGAGTGACAGCAACCTGATAGCAGCTCTCTTTACCACCTCTTCGTTGACGATTGCTTTGTGTTTAAAATTAATTAAGTCTTGTTTTTAGTTTCAGATCCCTTTTCATTCCGATGACTAGTGGTCGCAACCATCGATAAACTTATGGTTAGTTTTATTATTGAATTGATTGCTTGTGTGTATGGATTGATGTGATGATCACAGACTAGAGTCTCTGCAATCGTGTTGAAGATATCTTTGCTCTTATATCTGATTCAATCGTGTACTGCAAACCCATTGTTTAATTGATGATTATTTAGTGACTAATGATGTGTTTTGTCTTATAGACTGTGTTGAGTTTGCGATTAATTGTATGGAAAACTTTTGGCTTTTGTTAAACTAGTGGTAAGTGTCGACTGAATTGTTTGATTGATGCGAATATAGTGATAATATGCGGCACTAAATGATGAGAAAAGGCTAGAGTCCTGACCCGCCTTTTGGTGGCTTTTGATGACACCTTTAATATCGTTCGTTATCACCTCTGATGTGCTGATTATCACTACTTTTTGTTTTATTCTTTTTTTGTAAAGTTTTGTTTTAATGATTGGTTTCTTATTGACTTTCAGAGCCTTTGTCACGATTTGGTTGACTCGCCGATTGTGTGCCTCATTTGAAGTGAGTTTTGAGACCATTTTGTGTTAGTCTTGTGGTTTGTTTTTGTGGACCAAATGATGATTGTTTAAGTGATTTCTTTCTGACACCTCTTATGAATATTATCATTGATTTATCGCTTTTATCTGAACATAAATGTTTGGTTTATCTGAAGACCTGTTATGACTTGAACTCTGCTTTTAATGCAATGTTATCTTAATTTTAGATTAGTTTTTGGTTTTCCTTGAGCGAAGTGTTGACTGATTTGACGCATAAGCTATCGGTTAGTAATACGTGATGTGATTGAGATGTGGATTGGGATTAGGGTTTGAGAACACATGTGATGACAAAACTTAGGACACCTCCGGATTGATTATATGAGGATTGACAGCATACTGACTACTCTCACACCCTATATCTCATGTCTTATCAGTTTGTTTTTGATTGGATTTATTGATTAACAAATTTTCACTTTGCGTTTTAGTCATTGGTTTGTGTTTATGGCGCATACGATATGGTGAGCCATAGGAATGTGTTGTTGAGGTGAGCCATGCTTTCCATAAATTTTACTTTTGATCCCATGTGTGGCCACTGATGTAATGAAACTTGATTTGACACCTCTTGTCAGACCAACTTATGGTGATTTATAAGATAATTCTGAGGCCTTTGTATTAAAAGTTTATTTTACTTTTTGAATAAAAATTTTTATTTTACAATTTGTCTCAACATTTCATTAAACATTTGCAGCGCTAGTGATCAGCGGCGCCGGTATATGCCTATTTCACTGCCGTGTCTATTGGTGTGGTGTTGCCTACGATTGGCCACGACTTCGGCCTATGCGGTGAACGTGAAGATAGTGAACGACTCGGTGGTCAATCGGAACGCCAATTACGGGTCGCTGAAGAGCGCGAAAGGCGAGCCCACGCCATACGCGGGCCCTCAAGAGTTGCGCTATTTGTTGGGCAAGTGTTTCATCTACTCGGCCGACAAATACGACTACAGAGTCTGTCCCTTCCATAACGTGACCCAACACGAGAGGGTGTGGACGTCGGGCGGCACCGCCTATAACGGCATTATCGGTCTCTGGAAGGAGTGGACGGTTACTAACCATAGCTTCGATGCACTCGTGTATTACGGCGGAGACGACTGGTATTGTAGTCATTGATTGAGTTTGAGGTTTGGTTTGGGTTTTTAAATCAGTTTTTTTTGTGTCAATCCAGTGGTAAAGGCGTGGAAAGGAGTGCCCGATTGTTGTGGGTTTGCAGCGAAGCCGTGAGTGGAAAGCCTGTCGAGAGAGTGGTGGGCGTGAAGGAACTCCGAAAGTGTTTCTACGAGATATCATTGGCCGCAGAGTTTGGCTGTCGTGAAGACAAACATATTTACCGGCATTTGAGTGAAGAGTTTCGCCGAAAGTGGGATCAATTGGAGTCTAATCTGTATTACTCAGAGTTGACTCAATTTGGATACGAGTGGGCATTGCGTGAACTCTTCGTCGACGCGGGAATACTACTCAACACAACCCATCACTCGATTACCACCGATGACGGCATTGAAGATAATTTCGATACTAAAGAGCAATGTTTTGATAGTTTTGTTGAAATAAAAGCAAAGAATTTAGAGTTAATTAAAAGAATAGAGATTTTGGAGATACAGTTGAATACTAATAAAACTTTTGTTTAAACTTTATTTTGACTGAAATTTAATTGTATTTATTGCTGAACTTCGGCGACGTCTTCGTTGCCAACCCTCTGAGCGATCGGTCGATCACTGAGAGGGCGAACGACGGCGACAGCAAAGCGGCGAAGAATGTGGAGTCGGGACACACTCTCAGCCTTTATATACTGATATAGACATACATTTACCACGACTTCAGTCCATATGTCTGAACAGTTTAGTGATCACCGATAGTGTGTTGAACTCATTGGCAAAACTCCCGAAAATACAATACATTAGACTCTTTGGCCCCGAGGACTATACGCAAACAGCTCTTCAGGATCTAATCTAAATGTCACCTAAACTTAAGACACCAAAAGTGATCAATTAGTTTGACAGACATAATTGATCCTGGCGGTACTAAAATGCTGTAAATCATAACATAAATCATTGAATTCATTGCTCAATGAGAGAGAAAATAATTGTTTTAATCATAACTTTGTATTATAATTTTTAATATATAAAATAAATTTATAATTAATAAACTTAAAAATAAAATTAAAAGAAATTTAAGTAAAATTTTTTAATATGTTGGCAGAATAATGATTTACAAATTAAATTTATTCACTTAGTTTAAAAACATTATCTTATATTTTATATTATAAAATGGCAAAAATATTATTATACTTAAAGTTGTATTTAAGTTAACAATATAGAAATTGTTAATTTTTAATCAATTACTAAATTGTCCACAATTTTGATGAGTTTTTCGATATTCTTTTCGCTTTGAATTCTTTGCGATACTTTTGCCAACTTTTGAGCCAATATTTTGTCGTTTAATAGTCTGTCGATTGAATCCAATAATTCATTTTCAGAGCACTCGTAGGGATTGAGTCTAATCCCAAACCACTCATCAGTTTTAGCGACCATTCATTGATTTCGCAAATCAATTGCAATTAAAATCAAATTAAAACTCAAAAATCATACAAACCATGAGTTTCGGTGAAAATGGCATTAAATTTACTTTTCATAACACATCCGATGACTACTTCGTGTGGCAAATGGTGTCCGGTAATAGACTTTACGTACAAATGATAACTAAATTAACAGTAATTGCATTGAAATTGTGGTTAAAGTTTGCGTAAAGTGAGAGCACATGTGCTCGCAGTGCGTTAATGGCATCGGAAATGAATGCAAAGCACCGGTCGCTCTCACTATTTATACCCTGTGTTTATGCACAACACGTGACTGTTATGTTCACACATATTGTTACTTATTTACTGTTATCCACAACCCTATCGCACAACCGCATACTATTTTCCTATAGATTACTGTCGGTGTGAAATGATTGCCCCCTATATTCACGTAACGTTATATTCGGCGAGCGATTCATTTATTTTGTAAATACAAACTTTTTGATGTGGTTTACCATCACGTGATCGCTGGACACAAGTCTTGGACCAGTTTGTGGCCACATCTCTTGGATATCAATGTTGAGGTCAGTTACCACTGATTGCCGCCAATGTCGTTGACATAATACCCGTAACTATCACCCAATAGGTCACCAAATGTAGCGCTGAATCTGTTGGCGAAGTCGTTGACAGCGAGCACTCAGTGGCCAATCGCCGGAACC